TAGATATATATGTATAGTATTCTTATTTCTCCCCTCCTCCCACTCCTGTCTCTTACCTCCCTCCCGTTCCCACCGACCCCACCTCCATTCCTGTCAGTCCCTGTCCTAGATTCATGACCTTTGGTTTTGTTTAGATGTCCATGTGCGTTTTTGTTCTTGGTCTTTTAAGCTCCATGTTATTTTCCCATATGTTTTAACTGGCCATATTCTGTCTTAGCCCGAGGCTGCAGCAGGGAGTCATCCTCTGTTGGATTTCTTTTACCCCTTTGCATTTTTCCAAAAGATAAATATTTCTCCTTCCTTCCTCTTCCTCGTCTCCTTCTCTGGGTGGAACTGTCATCCAAAGCACCTCTCCTTCAGACGTGGACCATTTTCCTGGCACGCGAAGAGTGTTCTCGGTAGCCTTCCATGACAGCGGAAGTGCGGACGGGAGCCTTTTCCTTGCCGCCTCAGGGCCCTCACTTTGCACCACCTCGGGCTGCCGCCCTGTAGCCATTTTCACTAACAGATTCTAGGACCAGGCCCGTATTTGTGGATGTAGCAAACTGAGGTTACCACTTCAAGTGTTTCCTCACAGCTGCTCTGTTCTCCCTGAGATGTTGTCCAAGTGGAGAGAAATACGTTGTCACCAGGGATGACTACTTTTTTTCCCCCCTCAGGGCTTTAAACTACAATTTCAGACTGAAACAGTAGGGGCAGTGCAAGGGAGAGAGAGTAAACCTTTAAAAACAAAGTTCGGATCAATAACGATTAGCATTTCCTAGCCTCGAGTTTCCTGCTAATGACTGAAAGCAGACAGGTACTAATTAGAGCAACCTCAAGTGTCTGGATTCTGAGCTGTACCAGATGGTGCTGTGTGCGAACTATTCATAGTGCTAGCGAGAAGGCCGGGTTGTTCTTAGCTGCTGTTCTTCGATCTTGAGCTTCTCCAAGGATGCTTACATTTGCCGGTTTCCCCATCCCCACTCCACCCCGACCTTTGATTTTGCTCTGGTCCTGTCAGGGGGCGTCTTCTGCTATCTTTACTGAGAGTCTAGGTGGAGCTCACTTCATTGTTGTCAGATTTCCTTTCTTGCCCGTGTTATAACTTGATCACCTTGGACTTTTAATCACCTTGTTGGCTCTTTCTGGATGTGTCTCAAGATCACAGAAGATGGGGATGATCTTCAACCCTGTGCACAGACACCACACGGATATTTCGGCCTCTGCTGCTTAGTTGTCATTGAATCCTCATAGATTGTCTGAAAACAGATTTTCTCCCTTTGGTTTGTACTTCAAATATTTGCTACCAGCTCTGCTAGCCAACACCCAGAAAGCCTAGTTTGTTTGCCTAGAAGTGTTCAGCACAGTCGTGTGTTGGTATTGTTTTGACAAATGCTGCGCATGCATTTTCTACAATACGGAAATTCACACTATGAAGTGTGGAGCTGATTATGTTTAACTGAATTTTTGCTTTTTAAAATTTTTAAACTAGGGCGCGTTTATTGTGTTTTGTTGTGAAAGTTATAATTGCCCTTAGTCATGAAACTTTGTCTCGATTTCGTAAGTTTTGAAGAAATTACTTGGTGGAAACAGAAAAGTCAATAGTTTTTGTTTACTCTTGAGGTTTCCAGTTTGAGTAAGGACCACTCCCTCTTTTTCCCCTCATCATTGTTTTCCTTGATCTTGCTAAAGAGTACTTCGGGTATCCACATTAGGAAGCCGCTATTGTAATTCCAGCAAGTGCTCTGGAGGCCAGACCGACTGGAGTAATGTTAGACATGGGAAAGAATTCACATTATGGTCATCAAGATAATAGGGAAAAGGGTCCTGTATTTATTTCCTAGTGTTGTAATTGCTTTTTACAGCTTTTCTATTTTTTTATTACCATGCCCTGTTCGTTAGGTATATGTCTGTGAATTCTCTCACATGCTCCATTCTTTATATTTCCTGGTTTGGGAAGCCATCTATTCAGTATCTCTTGTGCCTTTTGAATACATGACATTTATGAGGATCTGGGGATGGAATTCAGTGGCAGAGTGTGGGCTTAGCATTTGTGAGGCCCTGGGCACTCTACCCAAATCCCCAAACTTGTTTAGGTTTCCTCCTTAAAGGAAACAAAATTATCTTTCACAGAGCTGGAGACACATGCCGGTCAGGAAAGTGCCTGCTTGTAAGTGTGAGGACCTGAGCTCAGTTCCCACAACCCACAACCTATATTTAGAAACCCCCGGGCAAGATGAATGCTTGTAATCCCAACCCTGGGAGGCAAAGACAAGCCAATTCCTGGAGCTGTTGGCCTGCTAGTCTAGCTACTTGGTCAGTTCCAGGTCAGTGAGAGACTGAAAAAAACAAGGTGGGAGGTGCCTGAGGAATGGCCAGAGGCCAGGTTGTCCTCTGGCCTCTGCAAGCAGCCCCTCCCAGAGAAATAAGTGGTACAGCTACCCAGAGAGGTATTATTAGCACTTCATTGTGCTTCTGCTTTTCCTAGGTCTAAACATAATTGTGCTGAGAGGAAATGCTAATTACCCTGGATTGATTAGTACAATATGCGAGTGTCCAAATATCTACCATTTTTGTAATTAATATGTTTATCAAGAAAGAAAAAAGGAAAATAATGTAGTTGCATTGATGAATATATATTTGCTTGTAAAAAATGTCTTGTATTTTTATGAAACATTAAATTGTGAGACGCTATCCAGTATTACAAAAGCGTAATATTGGTTCATTGTGTTAGGACACATGGTATTCATTTCTATCAATTCCCTATTGTTGAACATTGATGTTGTTTCTGACTTTACAATATAGTTTCTTGAATAATAAGCCTTCATATATATCCTCAGTATAATAGAAACACATTTTTAAAGTCAAGAACTTCATCGAAGGCTTAAATAGAACAATGTAAAGTTATGAATGAGCAGTAAAGACTCAAAGTTGGAATCTGGTTCAGACATAGCAACAATGCTTAACTGCTCAGAACTACTTCCAGGTCTTTTTAACCCAATCCCCACTCTATAGAAAAAAATGTCAGGACAGGGACTGGGCAGATGGCTAAGTGAGTCAAGTGCTCGCTATATAACACGAGGGCCTGAGTTTGGATCCCTGGGAAGTAATAAAGTCAAGCATGGCAGCCCACATGTGTACCCCCTGGGTCCCTGGAGCTCCTGGGCCAGTGGGATTAGTCAAAGTGATGAGTTACAGGTTCAGTGAAGAATCTTGTCTAAAACAAATAAAAGGGGAAGATTGTCAGTTTCTGGCCTCCACATACACATGCATGTATGTGCACCTGCACATGTACATGCATACACCCTTATAAACATGTATATATACCACATCCACAGAGAAGAAGAGAGAAGGGGGTAGAGAGAGGGAGAAGGAGGAAAGGAGAGAGAGAGAGGGAGATTATGAATGATAATGAATACGAATATGCCGTGGGAGTATCAGAAAGGTTCAGCGGGGAAGACAAGAGTCTAAGACAGGAAGTCCTCTTGTCTTGCCCTATAGAAGGACACGCCCCTGCGGTCCTTTCTCCTTCTTGCTTGTTCCCAAGTCCATCTCCACACACTAACTCAATGTGGACGCCACATGATTCTTCCCTGACATTTTAGTTTTTGCCCAGATCTTTCTTATCAGAAAAATAGTTCTCACCTTGTGTCCTGGTCTTCTGCCTGGGGGCATTGTGTAATAACTGAATATCTCCTTTAATCTGTTCCTTCTCTGTGGCAGGAACCTGGTGAGAGATAGCATGGCAGAATAACATAGTGAGGACTGAACTCCACAGACTTCTGGATAGTTTTTTTAATATTTTAGATGTCAAGTTCAGAGTAACTCTCCTTTAAATAAGTCAGCTCATTTAAGCAAATAATTATTTGCCTTAGGCATTGTATTAGATTTCTGTCACTATAATAAAAGATTTGGTAATTATGTCATGAAGAGGAAAGGATTGTTTTGGGCTTATGGCTTTGAATTGCTCTTTCATGATCAGACAGGCCCACTGCCCTTGGACCTCTGGTGGGTGGTAGATGGTAGTCGTGGGGGGATGTGTGATGGAACAACCTGCGTACCTCACTGTGGTCAGAGAGCATAGTGCGCAGATGAAGGGGATACAGTTCCATAAGAGTTAACCTCCCCTAAGCGACCTGAGGATGCTCCAAATCTTTTCACATAGACCACGGGAGCATCCAAGAGTTGAGCCATAGCGAGTGCGAAATCCATTAAGCCGATTATACGTTTGTCATGAGAAAGCTAATTCTTTAACCAAAATTAGCTTTAACCAGAATTCAATGTTGAGATTAGTTTTTCCTTGACTCCTTGTCATTCTTAGTTCATTTATCTTGCAGTAAAAAAAAAAAGGAATCCCAAAATAGCAGATTAACTTGGGGACATTTTATATTATTTCAAAATGCCTGTGAATGACTCTGATTAGAATTAATTTGACTATTTCTAGTTATTACTTAATAATTCCATTTTGAAATTTCCATATTAAAATCAATTATCCATCTTTGAGTAAAATTATTTCAATGACAGTTTGTCACGATTCTGAAGTGAACAACAGGAAAAATGAAAAATGGCCGTGAATGGCATTCGCATCTATATTTAAAAACCTCCTCAATTGACCACACAGATGTTGTTACAGATTTTTGTCTTTGATGTGATAAATCTCTCACTAATTTTAAGGAGTGTGCTTTTGAGCTCTGCATTGCAGAGCTGCAATTTATGAAAGTCCAAGCAGCTGCCCTGATAAATTGGATGAATTTGTAACCAAAATTCTTTTGGAAAAGGCTGAGATCTGTCACTTTATGTCCTGAATTTTGCATTCATACATATGGATTTGGGGTTCTTGTCAGGTGTGGGTTTAAAAGGTGTGGTATATATTGCATGCCTTTATATAGATACATGGGCATATTATTTATACTGTATTCACAAGTGGGGCATGAATTTGTATATGTTTTACTTTTAAAAACATAAACATGTTCATTTTAAGCTATGACTGTCTTAACTTTTTTTTTCTTTTTCTCTAGGTTGAAGAAATTGTAGACATTGGATCATTTGCCCCAGAAGATATCCACATTCCGAAGATTTATGTACACCGCCTTATAAAGGGAGAAAAATATGAGAAAAGAATTGAGGTAATTTGCAGAGCTTTTTATATTTGGATCTAGTTACCAGAGACACATGTCTCTTAGGCCATTCCAAGTGATAGAAGGTTAGAGCAGAACACTGTTACTCTGAGTCTCAAGTAGACACTTGTGGTGTGTCCATTGGAGAGGAACTGGGTACCGATTGTGCTTCTGCCCAGCATAACAGTGTCTCTACATCTTGTGATTTTGAAGGCTGTCATATCTGCCAGGATTCTCTAATGGTTGCAGTTTATGATCCCTGATTTTGGATAGCTATCCTAGAGGGTAGAAGTGAATTAGGTCTGAAGTCTTAATGCTTGCTCAGAAGTATCTGTCTGTTTTGGAATAGTTCTATACTTTCATGGAATAAAGAAAGAATTAATTTTTAACTAGCTTTGAGCAATGGGCATCTGATGGGTGTGAAGGTGTCCAGGGGTTGGGTACTAGGCACACTGGGGCTTTTCCACAATGACTGAACTACCAGGTCTCAGTTGATATCAAGATTCAAAAGTTTCTAGGGAATAGCACCACAATAAATATATAACAGGGGATATTAGGAATCAGAGCAAAAGGCGATATGCAATCATGTCGCGTGCTATCAGGTTCTAGGATAGGAGATTTACAAACAGACCAGTCTGTTTGAAGGAGACTTAGTGATGGAAACCGTTTTCTGGCTGTTTCCCTTATCCTGTGATGCACACGTGGCAGAACCCATCTAGACTCTGCAGGTGGAAATAGGCAGCTGGCCTCAGCACCACCTGGTAAACACATTCTGACAGCCCCAGGAAACAGATGTCCAGGGCCCGTGTCTTTTCTTTTATTCAGGCTCAGTTTCTGAACACCTAAGGAGAATTCAGCTGTCAAGTCGTAGGTAGAACAGTGCACTAGTCAAAACGGCAATGACAGGGGATTGTTTGCTTCACAGTGCGAGCAGGTCTGTCTTCCCTTTCAAAGAAATCTGACCTGCTTTATTTACTTCCTAAAGAATGATCTTTGTCATGAAATATCACTCGTGCATTCTTTAAAAAAAAATGTTCCATTATATTGTAGACTTACCTCCTACTGGGAATAAGTGCTATATTTTTTTCCTGCAAATTTTTATATTGAAGCAATGAGAAATTTGAAAGCAGATCTTAAATGGGAATCATTTGTTTCTACTTACTTTGAAGCGTTTATCGCTCCGAAAGGAGGGAGCTGGAAAAGCCAAACCTGGTAAGCCTGGAGAAGATGTCAGGGAGCGGATCATCAAGAGAGCTGCTTTGGAGTTTGAGGATGGCATGTACGGTATCCTTTATCAGCCTGAGCTCCTCCAAATATGCAGGCCTTGATCGTCTATGATCAACAGGCTGCTAGGCCTGTGAGTCATGATTCTTGTCTAGTTCTTTGACTTTAAAAGTCGTCAGACTTTACAAAATGGGATTTGTAATCCAGAGGTAGCAAGATATGGGAAGTTGATGTTTGTGATCTGTTTGCCTTCTTGATGGCAACTAAAATACACTTAAATTGTGGAATGTACACTACATTTTTTTGGACAGTTTGGTATTTAGCCAGAAGTTTGAGGAGGAGCCATTCACTACTCAAGGTGAGGGCTGTAAATCTTAGAATGTTGTCATTAGCACTATTTATTTTCCTGGTGTCCTGACATTTGATTACTCCATGAGCCATCAACTCCCACTGCTTACCAAGCCGCTGCTTCCTTTGAAAAAGATCCTATGAATGCACTCTTTTGTCTGGTATTTTGTAAAGGTACTCAATGAATGATTCAAATTCTGTACTTCCCACCTTTTATCTTTGGCAAAAGAAAAAAAATACCAGAGCGGACATGATTCTGTACAATTAGTGCCCGAAGTTTGAATGCACTTAAATAACAGTTTCATTATTTACCATTTTGCTTATTTTCAGTATGTGTTCACCATTTTGATAATTTTCAATATACTAGATGTGGAACTGTATTGCACATAGTATATAACAAGATAAATATTTATGGACTTTTGACTCCAGTGAAGCTGTATGTATAGACCTGAGGCAGATAGAAATTTCTAGAAACTGTCCATTCTACGAGCTTTCCTTCCCTATGAGTTGCAGTCATTTCCGCTGTCTCTTGACTGAGAGAGTTTTCCATTCCTCTTTTATTTTCACCTCTACCCCTCTTTATTTCTTGATTTTTTTTTTTTCAATTTGCACTTGCGCTGTGGTGAGAATTCACACAGGGCAAGAGAGAGTATCATGTTGGTCGTCGTCTGTCTTCTGCATGGGCAAGGGAGGGAGTCAGCCTGGACTGAGTGGGTATCAGCCACCGGGCTTTTCTCAGCTGACCCACCATTAATATGTAAGCACAGACTGCGATACTCGTTCCATATGATGATGGCTCCTCAGTGCAGTTCTTTATTCACTGTTGCTGTATTGCCCACGACAAATGTATGTAACTCATTTCATCTTAATGGTCTGTCTCTGTGAACCAAGGAGCTGTCAGTGTAGTTTCACAGACTTCCTGTATCCACAAGAAGTGACCTGGGCCATTGCATTATCCTTTTGGCCTTAGTAATTGGTAATTTGATGTTATATGTAAACTACGTAAATGTCGGCCCCCCCCCCCCCCCTTCTCTCTGGCTGTGATTCAGAGTACTATTTTTTTTTCTTTTAAGTTAGTTCTGGTGAGGTCTTCTGAGAAGTGATCATGTAGAACAATGGAGAAAAGATCTCTGATCTGCTTCTTCTGCCCATGTTGAAAACAGGATTAGTCTCACACCATGGAGAACAAATCAGCATTGACCTACTGAGATCATGTAAGGGACAAGGGACCCTCCTGTTCTTGGACCTTCACGGTACCTATTCCCTCAGAGTGTTTGCTGAAATGCATCCTGTCCACTTTCCTGATTTTGTCTCAGATATGCTTACCAATAAGTGTTACTACAGCCATCAGAACAGATGGACTTTAAATGGCAATTTGGTCTGATCAGAATTCTTTTCTTTAAATTTAAAAAATGATGCTGTCTTTTTGGAATTTTAAATCATCTTTATTTTTAGTGAGGGTTTGTATAGTGAAAATAGGTTTTAAATAAAGGCCAAACCATTCTTTTTTTTTTTTTTTTTTTTTTTGGTTTTTCGAGACAGGGTTTCTCTGTGTAGCTTTGCGCCTTTCCTGGAACTCGCTTTGGAGACCAGGCTGGCCTCGAACTCACAGAGATCCGCCTGCCTCTGCCTCCCGAGTGCTGGGATTAAAGGCGTGCGCCACCACCGCCCGGCAAAACCATTCTTAATGTCAGTCCTGAATGTATTAATCCAAGCTTGCCGAACGCATTAGTAAAAATAAAGTATGTTGTAAAAAAACTGTTCAAATGATCTTGGTTATCTTCTGAAGCTACTCCTTTGATCTGTGTGATAAAGCATATTAATGTTATTGAGAAGACAGGGACTAATTAGAGATTTTTCTTTCTGGAGGATTATCAATGAGTGCCCAGAGAATACATTCAGTTATTATATTAGTAACCATTTACCTCTAAAGAAGATTCTTGTTCTGATTTATATGTGTGAAGACTTACAGCACCATCTCTGCTTTTGCTGTGTTGTGCCTTAACATCTTTCTCCCAGCTAACTTGGGTATAGGAATACCTCTTCTGGCCAGCAACTTCATCAGTCCAAATATGACTGTTCATCTTCAAAGTGAGAATGGAGTCTTGGGTTTGGTAAGATGACAGTTCAACTTTTCTTTAACTATGAACTATAGCAAATGATATTTGTAGTTTACTCAGTATAATTTTCCAGTGTTTTATTACTTCTCATTAGACTTCTACTATTACTGTGATAAAATTTTATATATATATATATATATATATATAATATGTATTATACATATATATCATGTATGGTTAATATGTGTGATGATCACAGGTACATAGTAGCTACTGATTGGCTGAGTCATCTCCTGACTATTTTCAGGGACACAAAAATGCTGTGTGTCTGTCTGATAGAGGCAGATTCCTAGTGAAGTCAAAGACTCACACTTTAGAGGAACCCTTGAGGTTGTCTAGAGTGGTCAGCTTTTCATTTTGAAGACAGAATAAGTAAGTTTATGTGAACTATCCACATTGGGCATTGCAAGGGAAATGGGCAGAAGCCTAAAATATGAGGTGTCAACTCAGTTTATTTATAGGATAGCTTTCAGTCCTTCTCGGGGAGTGTATTAAAAATGCATAGCCAGTATTCACTCAGTCTTAACTCATACATCTTTTCTTTTCCCTTTTCTTTCTTTCTGTTAGTGTATGTCATTATATAAAAGTGCTTGGCTCCATTCATTTCACTTTGTAAAAACAAGTACAAAATTAGCTCAAGGGTATACCTCAAATGTAGTAGAAAACATGTGCATAACATGTGAAGTCTTCATTTTGATCTCCACCAAAACCTACACATAAATACGTTTGTATGTGCATGCATGCATATATATATATATATATATATATATATATATATATATACATATACAAACATACACAATTATATTTTTAAAATATCTTACTGAGAAGAATGGAGCGAAGGGAACATAAGGATACCCATATGTAGATACAGGGAGAGGTAAAATTAGAGCCTCAAATTCAGACTTCCAAAGTGTTGTATACCAAAACAAAAGAACTGCTGTTCTAAGTCTTTGTAGCCAAATAACACAAGTGTAGGTGGTGTTCACTGTCCTACCAGAAAGGGTTGCAGGTAGGTTTAACTGGAGCATACAGGCTCCATGTGGACCAAACTAGGTATTCAACCCAACAAAGATTACAAACTGAAAACAGGAGATTATTTTGTTATTGTTTTTCTTTTTTATTATTGAGAATACATTTTTATGCAACATATACTTTTTAAAATAATTTTAATTTTTACTGAGAATAGATTTTTATACAGTATATTCAGATCATGATTTCCCTTTCCCTAAATCTTCCTAGATCTTCCCTACCTCCCCACGCACACAAATTCACCCCTCTCTCCTTTTCTCATTAGAGAACAAACAGGCAACTAAAAAAAGAAAACAAACAACCCCCCCAACCAGAATAGGACCAAACAAACAGAAAAAGAGTAGAAGAAAAAGCACAAGAAACACATACAGATGTAGACACACACACACTCACTCTCTCACACAGAGATCCCGTGAAAACACAAAATCAGAAACCATAATATACAAACAAGCCCAGAAAAAGGGTTATGAGATGAAAACCCTCCAAAAATACCATTGAGTTCATTTTCTCTTGACATTCTACTGCTGGGCATGGGCCCTTTGCTTAAGTACTGTTAGTTGACCTGGTTAGACTCAGTTGGAGAGAAGCTAATTTTTCCTTTGTGAACAGTTGTCAATTGGAGATAGCCTCTGGGTTGGGATGGGGGCTTTCGTGCAACATATTCTGATCTCCCTCCCCCTTTTCCTTCCAGATCCTCCCCACCCTTCCAACTCCACACCACCTTTCTCCCTCCCCTTAGAAAACAACAGGAAAAAACCCAACAAATATTAATAATAATAATAATAATAATAATAATAATAATAATAAATGAAACAAACACAAAGAAAAAGCACGCACACACACACACACACACACACACACACAGAGGTACGCACACACCTAGTTTGTGTGATTCTTGCATGAAGTTGGTAGACAACATTGTTATGGTACAATGTCAAAAGACTAACCATGCTTGACACCTACATGGCAGGCACTGAAGAATGACTTTTCTTAAAGCAGACTGGTAATTTTAGGAACTATTTCTCACCTGCCCAGTCATAATCAATATGAGAAAAAGATTTGTGAAGACCCCTGAGTTACTTTTGAGAAGTTTGCCTCAGTCTTTGGATGTTAGCTCTCTAGATCTTCAGAGGAGCTATTGACAGTTTGGGAATGTGATGTGGGGGAGGGAGGGCAACATGATTCTGTTAGCTCACTGGATGTGTGCTGTATTTGACAGGGGCCATACCCACTACAACATGAAGCTGATGCTGACCTCATCAATGCGGGTAAGTTCACTGCATGCTTTTTCAACCTTTTCTGTTGCTACTAGTTTAGTCCTGTGTCAAATATCAGCAACAATTTGAACCTGATTCTTTGTCTTCTCCTGGAGAGAATTTACTCTATTTATGACAAAGGAGGGAAATGACCTGTCTAGTCTTTGAGATCTCTCTCATTCAATCTCAGCTGAGATAATGGAAGAAATACAGATGGAGGCATTTATGGGTTAGGCAGGGTCCTGCCTGTAAATAGAGAACACACCCTTGCATGGTGTATTGAGAAGAGTTCAAGACAAGGCAATTTACAAGGGTTGGGAGAGCATGAAGGAAACTCACAAATGATGAGGAAGTCCTACAGAGAGCTATTCCACTTTATTTTTAAAGGCTGGTAGCAGGAGAGATCCACCCAAGAGAAACTATGACATTTTGGTAAAAGACCATCACCAAATTACAGTGACCTTGGTGGGCTAAGATATCTGCTGGGGTCTTCTGCTTGAGCCTTCTATTGGCCAACCCCAAGTTGGAAATGTGTCAGGTTTTTGTGGATAGAGAAAGTGGTAGTGGATGCATAGTATCAGGCTGGTGCACTGGGGTTTTGATTGTAGGTAATGCTTATCATTCTGTAATGTAGGTCTTATTAGCATGAGCCAGCATCTTCTAAAGGTGGAGTTGCTTAAGTCTGCACCAGGCCACTGACTTCATGCCGAGGTTGTGAACTGAACACAAGTAGAGAGTTTCTTTGAGTTGGGGACTCACATTGTAGTTTCCTCTGCTCCTGGAGTCACATGCTTTGCCTTTCATTATCAGCCTGCTGATTGACAGGGACATCGAATATATTAGCAACTGAGAGAGTGAACAGATCAGGCCTTTTGGCAACTGCTTGAGGTAACATTGCTGTTCTGTTGGCTTTTGGCTCATCCTTGGCGTGGAGCTGTTCTTAAGATAATTTATGTCCTAGGAGGATTTTTCAGTGCCTTTCTATTCATTCTGCCCCCACAGAAGTATTGTTCTTACTTTGCATTCAAAAATAGTATGTGTAACTCTCAGAAGTAATGCAAGCTGAACATAAAGTCCAGCTGTCAAGTTGAATGGTGTCTGGTACTTGGGGTTTTGGGAAGTGATACACATTGAGGTTGAATATTTGAATTGGCTAACTCAACTCTGAAAGTCCCAGTGCGCTAATGCAGTGACATTTAACAACGCTGTACTCGAATTGTACTCTAACCTTTAGCAATAGCTCACTGGCCTGTGAAAATATTTGCTGCTTGCTTTAATTAATTTATTGTGTTAGTTGGTTATTTGCAAAATGAATAATTCCATTTCCCAGCTCTCAGGCTTTGAGTTTATAAGACCTATTTTCCTTGGAAAAATAGCTAATCTTTTCAGTCACAGTGTTGGATGGGAGGGGTTTCCTACTCCTTGGAGCTTCAAAGAGGCTCAGTCCCATGGAGCTACCAATTTTCAAGTTCTGAAATTCCACTGTAACCGTGAGGAGCCCAAGATAAAATATCTGAGCTCCCACCGTCTCTTGTTACTGCTATGTGGTTTTCTGTCCATGCACTGAATTAAACCTGCTGAAAAGCCAGCTCTAGAGAGGTGCAGATGGCAGCAGGCAGGTGCAGTGAAACCCTGGGTGCAAACCTGGCGTAATTGTGAAGTTTCTAATAATTCCCATGCGTTTGCTTTTTCATCCAGTGTGCGCTATGCATGCTTCCCCATCAGTGCTGTTCTCTTCTTTCAATATACAAGTCATGCTTTTAATGACTTACCTCTCATGGAAATTGCTTTAGAAAGAATCATCTTGTGCATCTTGTGGCCTCTGAAAGCCCCTCCTAACTGCCACACTGGCTGTTGTCAACAGACTCTTGAGAACATCTGACAGTGCCTGAAGACATTTTTTGACTGTTACTTTTGGGAACGAGTACTACTGGCGTCTAGTAGGTAGAGGCCAGAGACATTACCAAACATCCTGTGACTAGAACAGCCTCCCCAAAGGTCACCCTGCTTTTGAGGGCTCTACCACTTCTGGAGAATCACAGGCCTGCACACTGAAGTAAGGCAGCTCTATGCTGAATGTCTATCGGGTTCTCTCTGCTTAGGATCGTCCCTTCATTCTGGTAGCCTTTGTGCTTACTGTGTGCTCACCAGATTTTCCTCTTTGTTTATATCCCCGTCTCTAAGCTCATAATTTACCATCAGAATGTATTAGAAGAGTTCTTCACATTTTGGCCCATTTGGCCACTTCCAATCCTTCCACAGGACAAGAATGTCCCCTCCCCGGAACCTAAAACATATTGAATGTCTTTCTCCTAAGTACCCATCATTTTGTCTTGTGACTATTTTTCTTTCTTGCTGGATTATAAGCTCCTTATTTTTTCTTAGGGTATTGGTTCTTTAAGTCTCCATATCTATAGTGTCAGCATGACCAGTGACTCTTAGATCTCAGCCCCTACTACCCACATACTGAATTAGAAACTGGGAGGGTTGGAGGCAGTAGCAGCCTGCATATGTAGAAGCCCTCCATGTGAGTCTGGTGGAAATTCACGTTTGAGAACCAATAGTGTAGGGTAGTTGAATTTCGTTTGTAGCTTTGTTCAGTGTTCATAATAGTTATTTACTCACTATTGAATTATGAACCAAAGGACAAGTAGGTAAGGATAAAATTAATGCACTCTCTTGACAAAATAGTATGAAAAGATATATATAGACAGACATACAGAAAAGAGTTATTTGTTTGATATTGTCACACATGTATTAATGCATCTGATGATTTTATTCTCGCATCCCTTTTATCTCTTTCATCCCTATCATCCCCTCATTGCCTGCTCCCCCCAACCCCAGATTCCTGACTTACGCTTCATGATCCATTTAATTTAGCCAGGCCATCTGTGTGACCATTGGGTTGGGACTAGCCGTTGGAGCCTGTTGGAGTCAGCAGTAGGTATACAGCTGAAGGCAGGGACTGTCTTTCTCCCTGAATCTATGAATGGCAAATAGCTCAGTAATGAGGGTTGGCCTTGCTGAGCCCCTGCTCTATTCGTACCTGACTGTTGTCAGGGCCATCCTTGTTCAGAGTTAGTATGGGAACCTGCAGTTACTGTGAGTTCATGATCACAATGGCCGTGTCTTATCTATAGGCTGTTTTATCACAGCCCTTCTTCCTGTCATCCAGCTTTTACATTCTTTCTGCCCCCTCTTCTGCAGTATTATTGGAACCTTAGAAGGGATGTTAAAAATGGCTTGTTTAGGGCTCAGCACTCAGCTGTCACTTATTCTCTGCACTGTGTGAAGCTAGGAGTCTCTGTCTTTACTGCCATTCACTGGAGAGAAGCTTAGAGTAGCATTTGTTGGGTTCTATCTATTGTGTGGGGTGGTTGTTTGGAGAAGGTCCCAGAATGGAGCAGGACAAAGCTGTAGCAGGAAGCTTGACCTAGTGCCTGTCATCACTGCTATGTGGGCTGGATGCCTGGACAGTGTTTTGGATTGGTGGCAAGGCTATTATTCTTTACATGATTTATTGTTATAGTTACTTACCAAATCCTCGATGTTGCATTAGAAAATTGTGGATTCAACATAGTATATTTAGATACTGGATTCATTTAGATATTGGATGTTTAAAAATGATGGCACCCGCCGGGCGGTGGTGGCACACGCCTTTAATCCCAGCACTTGGGAGGCAGAGCCAGGTGGATCTCTGTGAGTTCGAGGCCAGCCTGGGCTACCAAGTGAGTTCCAGGAAAGGCGCAAAGCTACACAGAGAAACCCTGTCTCGAAAAACCAAAAAAAAAAAAAAAAAGAAAAAAAGAAAAAAAAATGATGGCACCCAAAAGTAGAACCATCATATAATCTAGTAATTCTACTTTGAGATATATTGCCAAAAGAAATAAAATCAGCAAATCACAGAGACATCTGTCTATACTGTGTTTATGGCAATACTGTTTGCCACAGCTAATAAAATGGAAACAGGCTGAGTTTTTTTTTTCAACTAATCAATGGGTAAATAAAACACATAGGAGAATACTATTAAATGGTTAAAAAAAGATGATATTTTGGTGTTTGAGACAATGTGGACTATGCTAAGTAAAATGGATCAGGCACAGAAAGACAAGTCATGTGTATTGTTAGTCATATGTGGAACCAAAAAAAAAAATCAGTCTCATGGAAGTTGAGACTAGAACAGTGGTTACCAGAGCAGGCAGAAGGCAGGTTCGAGGAAAGTCTTACCAGTGAGTAGTAAGTTATGATTAGATAACAGTTAGGAGTTCTCATGTGCTGTTGCATGGTAGGGTAATCATAGTTATCTGTGATCTAGTGTGTGTTCCAAAAAGCTAAAAGGGGGTCTCATGTTTTCATAGTTGAGAAAGGGTCAGCTTTAGAGGAAAAGCAGAAATGTTTCTTCTGATTTGAAAAGTCGCCTTATGTATAAACCCATAAACATGTATGCTTTATTTTTTTTTATTTTTTGAGACAGTAATCATCACTTACCCCTTCTCTTTCCTCCCTTCAAACCTTTCAATTGGTGTGTGTGTGTGTGTGTGTGTGTGTGTGTGTGTGTGTGTGTGTGTATTCCTAAGCCTATAAATACGACCTGCTTAGTCCGAATAATGCTGCTCATATGTATGTTTTCAGGGCTGACCTTTGGATTGGATAGCCAGTTGGAGTGCTTACGCAATTATGAATGAGTAAAAGTCAGGCTAGCGAAGTGGCTCATGGGTAGAGAGGTGCTTAGGTACCGGCCTGACCTGAGTTCAATGCCTGGATCCCACAAGGTGGCAGGAGAGAAATGAGTCCTGAGAATTATACTCTGACCTCACACACATACACATATTTACACTCAAAAGAAGTAACATAAATAAATAAAATTGTGGGTAGGTAACTACTTCAAAAGAGTATAGCACTGCCTTAGAAGACACATATACACACTTGAAATAAAGAGTGTAAATAAATAAAATCATGAGCAGTTGACTCTGCTTCAGAAGAATATAATTTGTAAGAGTGCCTAGGAAGAAGCCTGGATACTTTCCCGTGAGGGTTGCTCTCAGGGCTTTAAATACAGTTATGCTTTGTGCAGCTCATAGAGAGCCAAAATGCTCCCCATTGGTCTCAGCATTGCCTACAAAATGCTAATAATAATAGTAATAATAACTATAATAATAATTATTATTATTATTAATTTCAACCAACCCCCCCCCCCCCCCCCCCCCCCGTATATCACCAATGGAGTCTGTCTTTTGGAAGTCATTGTGATTTAACACTCAGAAAACAGAAGACTTGGTATGTTTATGTCTCTTCCATGTTCTCTACAGTTTTCCTCCATGACTTTTCACCTCACAAAAGTGGTGAGGATCTGATGTGCCAGACGGAGAAGTGTGTGGACAAGGTCTAGCTGTTGTGTGCATGTCCTGAAGCTTAGGGCTCATGCAGACTGGCTGGGAGCCCCCCCTGTAGAAGCAAGCCAGTTTGTGATCCTGCGTAGTTATGCAGTTATCCCTGGAGGGAAAGCCGCCCTGCCTCTTATTCTGAGTGGTTTGGAGAGAGTAGTAATAATGGTAGTAATGACAGTTGCTGTCATGGAGCTTCTGCTCTGTGCCCGGCCCCGACGGAGGACTTCACATGCATTATCTCACTTAATCCTCTAAGTCTTTGGTGCTGTCTAAAAGCTACTTCTAACCACACTAGAAAGTGTTTCCCAAAGCGTTTCAGGTTTATGGTACTTTGGAAGATGAGAAAATGTTTCCATTATTTAGAATCAAACTCCCTCGGGCAATAAATATTTCAGTATGATATAAATAGGCTTACTTTCCCCCCCATACTTGAGCTGAAGTGGGGGATATTGATGAAAGAGTTAGCTTTCAGCAGTCCTTGAGAAGCCAGCCAGGGTAGCTGTGGTACATAGCTGGGGATGGACAGACCTCTTCTAGTCCTGAGGCATCTGAGAGCTTTTCCTGCATTCTGACCTCTCAACCATAGCTTTTATTCCTCTTCTTCGATACCTTATGCATCAGAGCAGAGGATGGAGTGTTCTGGGACAGTTGACAGATGGCATTTAAGCACTTTTTTTCAGGGGGGACCATATGATGTTCTGAGCTCTGGAACACACAGAAAGTAGATCCCCCAAGACAGGCAGCTTGGGTCTGACCAAGGTACTGGTAGTTGTTAGCTAGAGTGCTAACTGGATAAACATGGAGATTTTATTTATATAGCTATCTTTAATTCTTGCAACAGGGTCTCAGTCAGTCTGTAATCCTGGTTAGGTGGAATTCCCTATATAGACTGTGTGATCCTTCTGCCTCAGGCTCCCAAGTGGTGGGATTGGTGGGTGCCACACCCAGCTTAATATGAAGTTTTTTTTTTCCAGCTCTGAACTTTTATAACAATGTGTCATTTTTAGAAGTCTTAAGAGAATCTCTTAGAAATTAGTATTAAATGTGTTCAGAAGTATTCTTTGATTTCAAGAAAGTATGATCTGATAGAAGCTCACAGCTTATAGGGGCTAGAGAATAAAGATGGATGTGTTATATACTTGCATGGTGAGGTGGGTCTTTTTATATTGTTAATTTATTTTTATTTTAGATTTTCTTCCCACAATTATTAAGGTATAGTTATGTCTTAGTTAGGGTTACTATTGCTGTTATTAAACACCATGACCAAAGCAACTTGGGGAGGGGAGAGTTTATCTGACTTATGCATGTCCATCACAGTTCATCATCAAAGGAAGTCAGGACAGGAACTCAAGCAGGACAGGAACCTGGCTGGCGCTGATGCAGAGGCCATGGAGGAGTGCTGCTTACTGGCTTGCTCCCCATGGCTTGCTCAGCCTGCTTTTTTTTTTTTGTTTGTTTTGTTTTTGTTTTTGTTTTTCGAGACAGGGTTTCTCTGTGTAGCTTTGCGCCTTTCCTGGAACTCACTTGGTAGCCCGGCTGGCCTCGAACTCACAGAGATCCGCCTGGCTCTGCCTCCCGAGTGCTGGGATTAAAGGCGTGCGCCACCACCGCCCGGCTTCAGCCTGCTTTTTTATAGAACCCAGAACCACCAGCCCAGGTATGGCACCAACCACCAATCACTAATTAAGAAAATGCCCCACAGGTTTGCCTACAGCCAGATCTTAGGGAGGCTTTTTCTCAACTGAGGCTTCTTCCTTTCTAGTGATTCTAGCTTGTGTCAAGTTGACATAGAACTAGCCAACACAGTTGGCAAAAGAAAGAAGTGTATATTCAATGTTTAACATTTGGTGTGTTGATTTGATGTGTGTGTACATAGCGAAATGACTGACATAATCAAGTTAATGACCATCCATCCCCTCACAGCTGCCATCTGAGGTTCAAATGTGCAGTGTGGTATTGTTGCCTGTAGCCACTGTGTTGCGTGTTAGATCCTTGGCAAGCTCTAGTCTTTAACTGCAGATTGTCAGCGTCTAAAGCTACAAAGCTGAAGGGCATTGTTTAGACATTAGAGGATGCTTTGCCTGTAGAGAATTTCCAAGCGGTAATCCCATACATGCTGGTTGTTACCACTTTGCAGGGACAAAAACTAACCAGTGTCAGTGACAAAACACACCACTTTTCAGGGTGGACAACTGCGTTTTGATTGGACCATAGAGTCTTTCAGAAGCACAGATGGTGCAGGCCTCTTGGTCCATCATGATGATCGCAGAGATCTAATAGTTCTCTCCCCATCCCTTCTTTCTTTTGTGTGTGCCTTTAGGAAAGGAAACGGTTACTGTTCTCCCAGGAGCCTCTTTCTTCTCCAGCGATGAATCATTTGCAATGATTAGAGGGTATGTAATAACGGAGCCCCTCATATTCACACGGTGTAGAGTGGGCTGAGTCATCTCCTGAGCTTGTGAGCAAGACTCTGAGGCACAGTCCCATTTCCCACAGTCCCATTAAACGATCACGGTTTGTTCAGCTGCAGAAAGCTGTGAAATTGTTCCCACTGAGGGTTGGGCATGGAAATATCCACCCCACTACTTTGCAAAGACCCCCTATGTGGAGACTGCATCTTTGTGCCAGCTTGATTGAAATAACATTATAAGGTATTCCCAACATTTCCTTCAAACTGTGGGCTCACTTTCCAGCCACGGGTTGTCTTCAAAACAAGTCACATTCTCCCTCACCGAAGGAAACAAACTTCACTGTGCACACCTGTGTTTAGTTTGTTTTCGGGAGACAATATAAGCTATAATTTTTTTAAAGGACTCTTAATGGTTACTTCTTTGTACCAGCGTGGAGCTCTGATCTATTTAGAAATCAATTGCAGGGAGTAGGAAAATAGATGCATTTTGGGGCATAAAATTATTTTAATTGCTGATGCTTTAAAGCAAAGGGGATATAAAGCCTGTGAAGTTTGCGTTATACTTTTTTTTTTTCCTTTGCCAGGGGACATGTCAATCTAACAATGCTGGGAGCAATGCAGGTTTCTAAATATGGTGACCTGGCCAACTGGATGATACCTGTAAGTAGACAGTTTTCCTTCTTCTGAATTATGTTGGGTTAGAAAACTTTCAAAACACTAAGAAAAACCCTTGAATTGCTATGAAAGTATAATATAATTATCAGAAATGAATAAATATATTCTCTTCTTGGTAGAATTGATTTTTTTTTTTTTGAGACAAGATCTTACTCTTAGCCCAGGCTGCCTCTGAATCCATAGCATGGCTCTAGCCTCCTAAGTGCTGGGACTACAGATATGAGCCACTATACTTAGCCCAAATTTAATTTAGCGGTCCTGAGAAGTGCCTAGTGTTTACTATGTCTTTGGGACTAGTGACCAGAAATGTCGCAGAAGGCTTTTCCTTGGAGAAACAGAGTTAGAAGATTAAGAAACTGGGCCGGTCATAAAACCTCGTGAATATAAGAACTGACAAACATTTATTACAAGCAAGATTTATAACTCGAAAGAACAAGGAACAATTTCAATGATTGTATGTTAATTCTATTTTTCTTACGTACAGTGATTAAAAATCCTTTCTCTATTGGTTGCATGACTCCTTAATCACATTGTTGTCTGTTGGGGAATTGCAAACCTGTGGTAGTGAAATATGCGTGTAAAAGGCAGCTGGTTGGTTGTCATTTAATGATGCAAACCAAGGAAGAAGTCTCAGGGTTAGCTTTGGAAAAGGCTTACAGGATTTCCTTCCTTTGGTTTTGGCCATGATAAGGCTGTGACTGTGAGATTACATTAAGGGGAACAGCAGTGGACATGTGTCCCTGGGTGTGAGTGCACCGTGGCTGCTGACTCAGGTGTGTGTGTGGGGGTGTGGGTGTGTGTGCGCGCGCGCACGCGCGTAAGGATTTCTGTGTGTTTCTCTGTAGCACCAGCTAAAAGGAGTCTTCTTAAGTAAGTAATGTTGGTGTTCTATGATAGTTTATTTTGATATCTCTTCGTTTTATTTGAAAGAAAAATTTGAACATGATCAGTTTACATAGCTATGTTAGAAATTGTGTTAAGTTAGCCTTGTTGATCGACTACTACCTGAAACATTAAAGTTTAATAAGGATTAAAGCTCTGGTTATGAAATTTAACGCATATTGAGGTTTGGGCTGGAGAGATGGCTCTATGGTTAAGAGCACTTGCTGCTCTTCCAGAGGACCTGAGTTTGGTTCCCAGCACCTAGGTCAGGTGCCCGCCCGGCGCCTGTAATTCCTGCTCCAGTGGATCTAACACCCTCTCTGGCCTCCACAGTTACATGTACACACCTGGCGTACATGCACCCAGACTTGCACATAAATAAAAATAATCTTTAAAAATTTGAGGCCAATTTGCCTCCAGCCAGTCTTTTAAATTTAACTCATCTGTGACATAGCCTGGGAATGGGGTGGTTTAAAGTAATCTAAGTGATCCTAGTATGCAACTAAGTTAGGAAATAAGCACATTAAATAGTTATCACCATTCATCATTAAGATGTATAGGACAATACTGTGGTTCCATCTTTAGTAAGAATTCTTAGCAGATGGTGGGTTATATTGTTATTCGAGTTGTAAAAAGATCAGTTATTCTAAGTCAGGTGTAGGACTAGTGATGGTAGCTTTTGGAGGTTCTAAAGAAATCTTGGAGGGTGTCCCAACTGTCATCCAGTGAGTTACATTGGCAAGTAACAAGGTGTGTATTTGTGTAGGTCTGGTGGCCTACAGAGACTTCTTAGTGAGTCCTTACTCAGGATCAGAGAATCTGAGCTTGCTTTTCCCAACAGGGCTGCATAAGGTGATGATTTGGCCATGGACATATTTACCAGTTGTTTGAAAGGGTCCATTCTTGGCTGTATGGTGTGCTTTGATCTTACAAGGGGAAAGTCCTTTTGCTGCTCCCCTTGGCATATTATAAAAAGCCCTTTTGAATAAAAGACTGGGTGGCTGGGTATTGAGCCAAGGCTCTCCAGGAGCTATCCCGTGTCTCTGTCTTTCTCCTCGTCATCTGGGTCTGCCTACCTAATATTTCCTCATTCCTCTCTCCTCCACTCAAGAGCCCTTCGAAAGGTGGGAGAAGATCGGAGCTGGAGTCCCACATGTAGGAAATGAGAATGTCTATCTGTCTTCAAATTTTATAATTTGAAGACAATGTGAAGTAGGAGAAGGAACTTAGAAAAGCAAGCCTTGGGCAATTTCATTAGTCAAGGTATGACCTTGGGCATACGACTTAAAATTTTTGCATTAAAGCATTTTCATTTTGATCCAAAAATGGGAGTTTGAGACTAGAGTCTGGCTCTCCTAATTTAGTAGTTAAGGGGAAAAAAAAAACCCGTGAGATAAATCCTAGTTGAAATCTATTGTCACTATAACTTGATCAATTTCCTGCTTTTGTTTTTCTGTAAAATAGGAGTGACATAATGATACCTGCTGTATAGGTCTATATATATAAAGGAAAAAGAAAATGCGGAGTGAATTTCACAGAGCTTGACTCACAGTACATGGCAAGTAAATGGGCTATTATTTTGACAAGCTAAGAAGATGATCCTAGTAGAGAAGTTGGGATCCTGACAGGGAAGGAGTAATAGCATTGGCTCCAGTAAGGAGGAGCAGGGACCCTTCCTTTTTGTCCACTCTGTGGCTTGAAAAATGGTATGCACAGCACTTCTGGGTGGAGACTGTTCAGCAGGAGATGCCTTTAGGAGAACTTGGGCATCTGTAAACAGAGTCAAGACATGTGCCATTAGTTTTCATTATGCTTTAACATGCAGTGAGACTGGAAGTTGTTGTTGTTATTGTTGTTTTACTTCAAACTATACATTATAGGTTCCCATTTTAAAGAACTTTCCAATGTATGTCATATTTTTATGTCTTCCTCAGATTGCTATGAATGATTAAAACATCACTTTCAATGTGTTGCTTTATAATGTTCTTCATACAGTCTTGGAGTTCATGAGTTCCAAAGGAAAGGGCCTGTTGGGATGTTGATGGGGAACTCTGGAGCATCATGAAATGACATTGGGTGATCTGAGGAACTAAGCATAGGAAGTGTTCTTTGGTCTGGTCCCACGCTTTTGGTAATGGAAGTTGGCAGCATCATTTGTACTTGACATTTTTTGTTTGTTTGTTTGTTTTGGGAACTGACAATCACTTCGTGACCTCTTTGCATGTAACACACAGTGCGTATTGTTATCCTCTATGACTTGTGGTAGTCAAGACTATAACGTTTAGTTTTGAGATCAGTTTGAGCTTCAGATGTCCCCTTTACAAGTGATACGATCTGGAACACATGTTTTCATTAGGAATGAGTGATGGGAAATTTTGAAAGCACTAATGCCTTCCATGAATGAGGTTATTATTTCCATCTTCATTAATGCTATGCCACACAATATCAAATAGAGATTATCTGCTTAAAACTGAACTGACTTATCCAAGACATGGGCACAGGAACCAGTAGAACCTGTTTAGCCTCAGTTTATATTCAAGGGCCAAACTTTAAATTCTTTCAGGTCACCTCTTCCTTTTGTTGGTTTTAGGTAAGATGTATTCTGCCCTCTCTGTGTAGTTTTAGTAAGCAATCTATTTCTGTTTGTCTCAAAGATTTATGTTGATTTATAAAGTTTAGATACATTTTTATTACAGAATCTGACAGTCAAGAAGCTAGAAAGTTGAGCTTTATTACATCATTTTTCATTGACTTTATCTTTCCACTAAGGGTAATAATCTTTCATTGGCTGTATAAGTCTTGAGCTCTCAGTACCAATGCATCTGCATCAATCATTACTGTGTCAGAATATAATAAATGCTGAGACCTTAAGACAAGAAAATGGTGTGGATGCTATTTGTCTCATCCTTTAATATCTTCTTAGTATGCAGCATTGCTCTCATGTACAAAGATTTTTAACAATTTTGCTCTGAGTATCCAAAAAGGGAAAATTTGACAACACAGTAGTTCACTCCTTCCTATTCCCTGATCAGCATGATGATGGTGAAACCCCAGATGAGCTAAGAAAACATGGAAAGATGTGCAGCTGACGGAATCTACACTTGGATCTGCTCTGGTGCCTTCCTAATGGCTATTTTTGGAAAACAGCTGGCGTAGATTATTGACTTAAGAAGAAACACAGATGTGGATGATCATCTAGGAGAGCTGGTTGTTGAAAGCATGAAATAGCTGCCCACAGTGCAGGGCTGCCTAACGTGAGCGGTACTAGAAACAGAGGCCCCATGATGCACCAAAGACATGAACATTGTTAAGGCAGAGGAAAAATGGGCATTTGGATACTAGTTTTCCACTCCTATTTTTCATCATTTGAGAAGCGTAGACCTAAATTAATACTGTACATATATATGCACTTTCTGTGCCATTTAGAAACTTGGTGTTTGTGTTATTTTCAAGAGCACACACAACACAGTGTGTGAGTATAGCAGCCCAAGACTGATGGTGGGTTTCTTCCTTGATCATACTCTACTTTCTGAGGCAGGGTCTCTCACTGAAACCAGAGCTTGACATTCCCACTGGTCTAGCTAGCCAGCATGCCTTGGGTATCCTATCCGTCTCTGTCTCACCAGGGCTGGGATTACAGACAGAATACCACACTCACATGGCCCTGAGTGGATGCTGAAGGTCTGAACTCTAATCCTGACATTTTTAATGATTAGTACTTTATCTATTGAGCCATCATGCCAGACCTTTAAGTTACGTATTATAGCTCTTTACTTGGATACTGTGCTTGTTTATTCAAAAATAATTTTATCTGTGTATGTTGGAAAATATTATGTTGAAAAAAATGTTAGTTACTTACAGTCAGTATTATTCAGGTTAAAGCCCTTCTAGAAGTACTTTTAAGAATTTGTTCAAATACTTTGTGTCCCTTCTGGTGTTCGAAGGCAGACTCCTTGCATAGAGGGAAGTCTGCTCCTCTCTCCTCTCCCTCCCTCCATCTCTCTCTCACATTCACTTGCCTTCTCCCTCTCCCTCTTCTTTTTATGGAGAGAGAAACCGAGCAATGGATGCGATGTTTGTGATAATATGTTTGGCTAATGATG